CAGAGCCCGACGCGGGGCTCAAACTCACGGACCGCGAGATCGTGACCTGGCTGAAGTCGGACGCTCAACCGACTGCGCCACCCAGGCGCCCCTAAATAAATGTTTAAAAAAATATATTTTTTAAGATGGCTGTCAGTATTACAGGAAGAGTCTGTCCCCCCCTCCTGCTCCCCGGTGACCCTGTGATCACACAGCCATGCTGCTGTGGGTAAGACACGTCACCTCTGTGGCTGTCAGTTTCCTGTTCTGCAAAGTGAATGGCTTAGATTAGAATGTGCTTCTCCAGGTCTCAGGGTTCCTGGGCCAGAAGCATCTCACAAATATCTTTGGGACCAACATGGAGTTCCAACATTTTGTTTCATCAAATAACAAAACCTTTCAGAAACATCATCACTTCATCATTTCATTTAAAAAAGGTTACTGTAAGAATAAATTCTATATACGTCCTAACCTGAGACTGACGGGAAACCCTATAAGTCAGTTGAGTTTCCGAAACCCTCCTCACACTGTTTTGTTTTCTCCGATTTGCTGAGAGTGTATAAAAATCGCGATGTGAGCCGGCGCTGCCTAAAAGTGGCCTCCAGTTCTCTGTACCTAAAAGTCAGCGTTTTATCAAAGGCACTTATTAACCTGTTGATTTCTACGTCTCCCTCTCCAATACTAACCCATCAAGGAGTAGGGACTGTGTCTTCTTTTTATCCGTATTGTTTAGGAAACTGCCTGAGACTCCGCAACTGTACCTTGAATGAATGAATTCACCACGCAGGCTGGTCCTCGGAAACACTGTCATTCTACACAGCGCTCTCCGTCACCAAAGCCAGAGCCTCATAAATGGACAAATGAAACCCCGATCCCTCTGCTGAGCTGGAGATCTCTTGCAAAGATCTCATCCTGTTTGCGGGCATGAGACCCTTTTCTACCACATCGGTTGTAAGGAAAGGAAGAGGGAAGAAGAGGTTTGGGTCAGTAACTCACTCACCTTCAAGAAGCTGAAGACTTTCTGTTCTGTTTTGCCATTCACATCCCCTTTCTCAAAAAGCTGGAAATTCGGTACATATCCTCTCCCTGGACGCACATACCTGCAATGACTCACAGTTGCCAGAGAGCTCCAGAGTGTAGGAGAGAAGGCTGTGGGGGGCCTCGGGGCTGGGGGTCATGGGAAGGGCAGGAAGAAGGGCAGATACAGAAAACAGGGCCCCGGGGAAATAAGGCCATTCTTCACGTCAGGCTCCCTGATTCCTGTAACTTGTCTCTGTTCCGCAACCTGAGCCTGTGCCCCTGCACTGCTTCTGTTCCGGCTCCTTCTGCTGTCCTGCTCCTCTGCGGTCCATCCAGACCTCACTCCCAGGGAGAAGGAGAGTGTCCAGATACTGCCAGACCCACGTCAGGGAAGGACAAAGTTGATGTCGGTGTAACCCACCCCCCACCCAGGAAGCCTCGTGTGAGCATGCCCCGCAGACTGAAGAAAGGTGGGCAGAGGCCTCCTGTGGGCCCAAGCAGGCACTCACTTCAGCCCCGGAAGGATCTCCGAGTTCTCTCCTGGTTCCTGGTTCCTGGTTCCCAAACTGGTTGCAGGGAAAGCCCAGCACGACCAGGCCCCAGGGCTTCAGCTCGTCCTGAAGTGCGTTCAGTTCTGTGGGAAGAGAAGAGACCGTCTGGTGGCCTGGCCGGAGACTCTGCCTTGTGTAGAGAAAGATCTATGGAGCCACACATTTTACAGAGAAGGAGACAGAGGCTCAGGGAAGGAAAAGTCTCTAGCTGGAAAGACCTTTAGTGACAGGGCTGGAGTTACGTGCTGGAGCTCCAGACACGCATTCAAAAGCCCTTTATTATAGGGTAATATTTCCCCAATCTGTGGCACATCAGGATCAGCAGAGGGCCCTTCCTGAAAAGCAGGGATGCCCAGGTCCCATCCCAGAGAATTCTCTGGCCCTTCTTCTGAGTTGGGCCCCAGTCATCTTTACTCTTCAAAACCTCACCAGGTTACTATGGATTGTGACAGGTGTGACTGCTTATGGACAGTGCATGCAGGGGTTACTTAATGGGTTCAGTTTCAGTCTGGCAGGATGAAAAAGTTCTGGAGGTTTGTCTCCAGATCTGTGAGTGTGAACACACTTAACACTACTGGTCAGTACAACTTGGAAATGGTTACAAGTGTAAATTTTATGTTATATCTTTTGTTAACCACAACTAAAAAAAAAATGTTTGCCTTCCCTGGTTGGTTAATTGCAGGACTGAATCTTTCTTTCTTTCTTTCTTTTTTAATTTTGATGTTTATTTTTGAGAGACAGAGAGACATAGAGTGTGAGCAAGGGAGGGGCAGAGAGAGAGGGAGACACAGAATCCGAAGCAGGGTCCAGGCTGAGCTGTCAGCACAGAGCCCGATGCAGAGCCTGAGCCCATGAGCCAAGAGATCATGACCTGAGCCAAAGTCAAGAAGCTCAACCGACTGAGCCACCCAGGTGCCCCAATCTTTCCTTCTTTCTTTCTTTCTTTCTTTCTTTCTTTCTTCTTTCTTTCTTTCTTTCTTTCTTTCTTTCTTTCTTTCTGTTTTTAAGAAAAAGACACAGATGACGATAATGGGCTTCTCTCCTCTGTACGGACTGGGTCCCCTGGGTGGAGCAGGAAATAGACCTGATGGGCAGAGAGAGCCAGAGAAACTCCAAGCCCAGCTTCCCGGTGTTCTTCAACATCCTCAGGATGTTCTACGTCAGTCCTCACCGACATGCCGGAACACACGAGCCTGCACCTGCCTCCTTCCTCTGTCTTCCCATCCTTTGCTCAGATTTTTGTCATCAGCTTCTTTGTTAACCCTTTCTGGCTAGATGGCTTCAGTGCCCTGACAGACACTAGCCGGTCCCACGAAGATTCTCCACAACCAACTGGTCAACAGGAGCCTCCTCTTAGTCCTTTTCTTTCCTCCCTCCCTCCTTCCTTCCTTTCTTCTTTCCTTCCTCTCTTCTTTCATTCCCTTTTCTTTTCTTTCTTCTTTCCTTTTTCTTTACGAACTAGACATTGGCTTCCTGATTCCATACGGTTCCCCAGTACCTCTCCCCACATCCTTCTTACCTGTCTTCAGTCATCGTATGTGGTCACTTGCTCTGGGAAAGAGACAATAAATTAGGAATCCCATCTTCCAATCCTTGGGAAACTATTCCTCAGTTGCCTCGTCTGTTCTGTACAGAGTGGGAACTGAATACATGAATTTTTAAAGTCACCGTAAACTGGTAAAATGAATTACGGTCCAATAGAGTGTCATTCAGTCTTTAAAAAGAATGAGGAGGTGGTCTGAACTCTAAAGTACTTTAGTGGGATGCCTGGTTGGCTCAGTCAGTAGAGTGGGTGACTCTCAATCTCAGGCTTGTGAGTTCAAGCCCCACATTGGACATGGGGCCTACTTAAAATAAATAAATAAATAAATAAATAGTTTATTAAAACGAAAAGCAAAGTGACAAGCAGTATTTACATTATGTTACAATGGGGGGGGCAGAAAAAAGAATTTGCGGATTCTGTAAACATAATACCGGTCATCTAGAGAGAGGGGGACAAGGAGCTGGAAAGACTTCTTCTCACTCTAGACTTGATTCCTATAATTTGTGAGCCTTCTGAATATGTTACCTGTTCAAAACACAACATAATCAAAAACAAGAAAAAAATGAAACTCTTATTACTTCAAACATAAGAAGTGCCTCTATTTCTGGTTAAAATCCATCCTGTTCATTATTCGCCGGCTTCGAAACCACACGGCCGAAGATACGAGAAAGATGAAATCGCTCCCTGAGTAACGTACAGAGACGGGGAAACCACGTCCAGGAGACCCTGAGGTGGAGCCGGACGACTCGCCTCTGCCCCCACCTGCTGGGCCAGCTCTCCGGACAGACACAGCTGCAGCCCATCCCCGCCGCCTCTGCCTTAGCAAGTCACCCTGGAAAAGTCTCAAAAACATCAGTGCTGTCTCGTATTTACCAAGACTTCTGGAATCTGCGCCGAGGCCCCGAGTCCTCAGATATATGTTATTCTCCCGGAAATCTCAGGAGCAAAGCAGAGGCAGGATGTAGGGAAGGGCTCAGCAAACTTTGTATAAAGACAGTGGACACCTTAGACTCTGCAAGCCGGATGGTCTCCATCCCTATTGTCATCAACTACTCAACCCGGCCTTGAGGCGTAAATCAGCCACGGACAGTATGGAAGCACATGGGCATGGCTGTGTCCCAATAAAACTTTGTTCACCGAAGCAGGCTGACCAGATTTGACCCGTGGGCCGTTGCTTGCTGGCTCCTGACATGAGGGAATGAAGTCACTGGGTCCTGAGGATCTACTTCAAGGCGTAATTAGAATGTAATTCTACTTAGGACTTAGAACATGCTGAGCAGGAAACTGTAACCCCAAGGACAGTGGCTCTGAATTCTTACCAGGATACTGAGCTGTCAGACCGCAGTAGGTGGCCACGTTGACGAAAAGGACGTGCTTGCCCGCGTACTGCTTGAACCGAATGTGTTCCTTTCCATTAAGAGTGAGGGCGTCATATTCGTAGATGGTGCCTTTCACATCTTTGTAGCAATCCATCTGGAAGATTTTTAAAAGGATAATATTAGTGACAGTTCCTAACACCTGTGAAATCTGTCAGCGCACTCAAACGGTAACGGCTGCATTAACCGAAAACGAAGCAGCAAACAAACAGGGCTTTTGCGAGGCATCCACGACACGATGGAAACTTACGTCCTGTGACTGCACCGCCAATGGTGTTTGAGCGGCAGGCAGTCATGTCCCCTCCCGTTATCCGGGCGCCGGGAAACGTGCCAGGATGAGATGAAAAGAGCAGAGGTTCACGAAGTAAGGGAGGCCAAAGAGAAAAGCTCGCTGCCCTGTGTGCTTCTGTGGAAATGAGGCTTCTTGCTGGTTCTGGACTGAAGGTGTCCCGCCTAGACTCTCCCACAAAGGGCAGGTGTGGGATGGCTTATGTATCTGAGGATGGCCTGGTCACTTCTGTAACTTTCCCGAGGCCTCCCGACTGCTTGCTCCACGCATCAGCGTGGTGTGGAAGGAACTCCGGCCTGGGGATCCAAAGCCAGCTCTGCTCCCCAGCTCCCTGTGAACCTGGGCCGTTCTCATCCTTGGCCCTCAGTTCCCCTGCGGGTAAGACGAAGACATTCATCTAGATTCCCATCAGCTCTTCAAGCGGCCTTCCAGGTTTTACCTTCTAGAAGCTAACGTCAGCCCTGCTTGGGATACTTCTGTCCCTCACGTCTCTCTTGCTCGTGTGATGGTTTTACAAGCCACCACCGTGACGCTCCTTCTGTAGCTCCCAGTAGAGGACAGCGAGAGCCCGAGACCATCTGCTGGTGCCGCGAACATCTGTCCAGCAGCACCTGCTCTCACATAATCAGCCCCCCACCGCATCGTGCTCTAGGAATTGAATTCTCGCCTTCATCACTGGCTCCGTCTGTCCTGTTCCTCCCCGGATCTTCTGAGCATACTTGAGCAGGATTCTATGTGACACAAATAAGTTCCATATAACAGAAATACTTTGTACACGACATTCTCGCTGCCTGATTTTAGGTTAAATTCCTCTACAAGGCAGATCTCGCCTTATTCTTCCCCCACTCTATTCTTGTAGAGTCCACGAGGGACCCAAAGGGTCTGGACTCCACAGTGCTCATCAGCACAGCCTCACAGAACCCAGGGAGTGTGAAAAGGAAGCTACCAAGCCTCATGGCGAGACAAAGGCAGAGAGGAACTGGTCAGAGAAAGGGGAGAAGGACGAAATGCGATAAGGAAGGTCCAGGTTTAAAGTAGGATTAACCCAGACTCCCTGGAAATCCAAGGGACTAGAAAGGATTTTAGCCAGCCAGCCAGCCAGCACTGGTCCTGATGCCACACAAACAAAACTGGACTTTCTCCAACCTTCTTGGCCAGCTGCTGCTCTCGCTAGCACACCGGGCTGCGGGCCTCAGTCCCTGCCCCTGGTCAGAAGGCTGCCTCCTCTAAGCAGGCCTCTGCGCTTTCCCCTAAGTGCACAGAGACACACATGCCAGCAAAACTGAGAATGTTGTGTGAAAGCATCGATCTCCATGTCCATGGTGCCGGTGCCAAGCTGAACATTTTTCATGATTTGTCTTCTTCCCCCTTTGCTACCGCAGTGAAAATTAATGACAATCATGTTGGGTACCAGGGTGTGGGGATTTAGAGACTCTGGACCTGGAGAGCCCTTTGCGGCACTTACTGCTGACACTCAGTGCTGCTTCCAACATATCTAAGTCCACATGACAGGTCTCCTATACCTCCAGACCCAGCTTTTCATTAAGCAAATTCTACAGCCCAGGGTCCGGGGCCTTCATACCCAACCAGGCAGCATACAGTGACAGAAAAGCACATCAAGTCTCAAAAGTAGAGCGTTCTCTGGTCGATTTCAGAGCAGTAGGAAGATCTTCCGAGAGCTGCCTTTTACTGAGCACATCGCACGTGTCATAATTACTGTTCAGCCACCCACAAGGTAGACACTGTCACCCACGACTTCGTAATGAGATGGCAGAGGCTGACAGAGGTGAAGGGTGACCAAAAGTGATCCCCCCGCTACGGACAAGAGTTTGCTCGCCTCTCACTTCATGATCCCATTCTGCCTCCAAGTCACCTAGATCCCATCTATCCATCCCTGAGCTGTCCTCCCACCGCCACACACACACACACACACACACACACACACACACACACGTTGCCTCAATAAGGCAACGGAGCCATGAAATGGGACTAGACTGAGGCCAGAATCCAACACTTGATTCCAAATTCAGTTGCTTCAGTCCTCCAGTTATTTCTGCACGTGATTTATGCTTCTCTGGTAGCTCTGTGACTTTATCCATCTGTAAAACTTCCACATTGATTCTTTCCTCCTCTTCGTGGGCATCCCACTGAGAGGACTTAGCCCACGGTCTCGCCCAAACCCTGCCGCCCACTGTGATGCCCGCGCCAGCCTTGTCTGGGGCCCAGCTGAGGCCGATACTGACGTGGCTGGAAGGGTGTCCAGGCGACCCTAAATGGAGATGGAGAGGAGCAAGGACCACAGTAAGGAGCCTCCTCCCTAGATTCGGCTCAAGGAACACCGTTTGTAGGACTGAAGAAGAGGCAAGAAGAAAAGAAAGGTTAATGGAAAGCACAGGAAGAAAGCAAGCGGAGGCGGGAGTCTCGCAAGAATGACTGAAGCAGGACAGAAGGACAGAAGGGTGACTCTACCTTGGAGCCCCGCCCCGCCCCCTCTGGAGGTCACTCACCTTCACCTTCTCTGGGGGCTTGGGATTCGTGCACATGACGCCGACTAGCAGAAGAGGGAAGAGGGAGGAGGCAGGTAACTGTGCCGTCATGCCTAGGTGTGAGGTTCTGGTCTTGGAGGCTGGGATCTCCCGCACTCTGGCAGCCTTTTGACACACTAGCCAAGCCCGTGCAGGCCAGTCGCAAGCCGGCAAGGGTTTCTGGGGCATTAAGCGGGGATGTAGAATTTAAACCACATCCTCACCCACACACACCCCCACGTGCACTCAGTGCTCACCAGTGCGATGAGGGCCTGGGACTCATATAAATTCTGGCAGAATTATGAAAAGGTGAGGGCAAGGGCCCATGGTCCTTGAAGATTACTGTCTGCTTTAGCTGGGTGGAGGGTAGTGTCCAGATGCAGAGAGAGCCTCCCCAGCCTTGCAGTAAAGTCACTGGAAACAGGACCACACAGACCCCAAATACCATTCGGGGTATCATGATTTGTGGACCACCGAGGGCCTCTCTAAGAGAGGTGGAAGGAAACTGGCCCTGAGGGAGGAAAAATATTTGCAATAAATGTGAAGGAAGCACATTAATATCGCATGCTACACCTGCCTGCAAGCGCTCCCAAATCAGTAAGAAAAAACAAGCAGCCCAACAGACACATGGGCGCCAGGCAGGAAACCAAATGGCATCTGTGCTGGGATACGACGTTCTCCTTCACCAATAATCAAAGACGTATAAATAAGAAAAGATGCATTCTGTGTTTATCAGATTGGCCACAGTTAAAAGGCGCGGAGGCACCCGCCTGGCTGTCGTTGGTCTGGTATGGGGGGGGGGGGGTTGCACACCAGACGGGGGAGGGAGCCGCCAGCGGCTGCCGGTTTTCTGGAAGAGAATCTACCATTCTGAATGTGCTCCTTTTGAAAGTGCTCTCAATCTCCTGGAAGCCCCAGGGCCTGAGAAGGAAAATGGTGATGAGGCACGAATAAAAACGCTTTGCCTCTCAGCCAGCAGCTCTTGGTTTATCAAGTCCCCAACTGCTCAATCGTCTCTGCTAAAATTGGGACTGGGTGAGGGATACAGGCCTGGATATTGCTGGATACCCCGCTTCAGTAACACATTTAACCCCACCCCACCTCCCCGGAGGCCTCCCAGCCTCCTTGTCCCTCTTGTGTACAATACGGTGCACTTCTGGATCCCAGGTGCTGAGGCCTGAGTGA